CTATAGGACGCGTGTGCTTGCCATAAAGACAGAGACAGAAAGCGAGAAATCACCCCCCAGGGGGGATAGCCACACCGCAATCCCTTCTCCTCCAGGGATCCTAGGCACGCATGCACATGCACCTGGTGTGAGTTTAAGCCACTGGGTCCAGGATTTGAACTGTGGTTGACTACATGGGAGTCCAGAGATGTAGCCATTATGTTATCTGCTGGTCCTACTCTTGTTTTGATCAATGGTCCGAGTCGAAGTTGTGCACCTGGAGTTTAGGGTAAGGTTTTTATTCAGACCATGTCTTTCAGCTGGAGAAGTTAAAGTGTTCACATTTACTGGGATTACTAATATGGAGCGTACTGTGTTCATTTTGTTTCTTTTGTCATGTTTTCTAACATTTTTTCTCCTCTTGCCTCTCCCCCACCCTTGGTTGGGAACCTTTTCATTCTATTTTAATTCTTCTAGAAAGTACTCTTACATTTTAAATACTAACTTAAACCTGTACTTTCTATGAACATCCAGGTATCCTAAGCATGTCTTTTGTCCTTCCAAGGTGATGGCATGGAGGGCCTCAAATCTTCAAAGCTCAAGCCTGGGAGAACCCAGGCTCTAGGCAGTACCAGACTCCTTGTGGGCAAATGGCACTTCTGATTCTCTTGGGGCCAATCAGCGCCTGAGCCTAACTGACTGGGCCAGAGAAAGTATTTCAGTAGTGCGTAAGGCCTCTGCCAAACCACATGAGGCTAAGCTTTCTCTCTTACCTTCAGCCTCTGGACAATTTCCCTTACGTCCTCCACAGAGCCCTCTGTAGCCCGGAGGAAGATGTGGTCCCCTCGCCCATAGAAGATTTTCAGTGTTGAGGAGTCTGGGGTCCAGCCAATGACATCCCCACAGTAGCAGTTGAACACCACCTCCTTGGTGCGAAGGTCCAGGAGCACCACAAACTCATTGGAAATTCCCAAAATGCAGTCGATTTCTACCCCCTGGGCATAGTCCTGAGCCGCCACTCTCCAGGCGATGGCCCCCGCACTGTGCTGCTCAGCGCCCGCCCGTGCCTTTGTCTTCTCTTTCTTCTTGGAGGTCAGGGAGATGAGGTTGAATTTGCCAGTGGAGTCGATGGGAGTGTTGGAGACACAGTTTTCAGCCAGGTCCTTGAGGTACTCCTGGCGGGTCCTGGTGGCCATGGTGTGGAACTTGTCGGACTTGTGTGCAGCATTCTCAGCATTAATCACCTTGGCCAGCAAGAAGTCTCTGAAGACATCAGATTTGCGGAATGTGGTTCCGCTGGGAATGGGGGGGCCGAAAAGAGGAGCGTCTTTGGATCGGGTAACAGCCATACTGAGGAGGAAGAAAAATCATTAGATACTAGAAGGATAAGGACTAAAACTGTTTTTTCTTTTTTTTTTTTTT